AGTGGCTTGTCAATCTTTTTAGCTCTCTGAATATTGCCTAAACAAGCTCTAAGAATGATAGGAACAAAGGCAATATCAAAAACTCTCTTTTATAGAAAAACAGAATGAAAAACTAAAAGTTTAGAGAATTAATTTATACAATATGTGAATCTTATAAGTGTAAAACTTAGTACTTATTTTCTGATGTTTAAATCTATTTATAGCCTCTGAAATGACATAATTTTAAACTCAATTAACGTCCACAAAACGGCTATAAATAATCACTTATTTAAAACCTGAAATCTAAAAAAACTACATTTGTAGTCGACTACAAGTCATAGTAGTCGACTACACTGAGTCTATACAGACTCTGTGAAGTTAGAAAATTACTTAGTAGTCGACTACACGGCATAGTAGTCGACTACACTGTAAACTCACATATTCTGGAATTTCTTTTTAGTATTTTAGCTGTAACTTTCTCATCCGATATCGGAATGAGGTGATTTAAGATTTGTTGGAAAACTCTTGAAGAGACCTACAACGTTTGTCTTTTGATTTTTTTCCAGATTCGAATAGTTAAGGGGTATAAATAAAATGTTTTAAGACTTACTTAGCATCTATAAACTCTAATGACTAACATAGGGGATTTCTATTGTTAACCAACACACTAAGCATGTGTTAGTATATTCTAATACTATGTGTGTGCATGTATGTGAGTAATCAAGGCTTGTATAAATTTCTATGCGAAGAAAATATAAAATTACATTTTGACAATAAAGTATATCTTCTTCTTTGTTTCATTTTTCCTCGAACTCATCTATGTCTTGAGTATCACTTTGAATATAATTGTTGATATAGCTCTGGTACTGCAAAACAAATGTTAGCACATAATACACATAATATATAATATTTGTTATCATCAAAATAAAGTAATCTTGGGTTTATGATTCTTAACAACATTATCCAACAATACTCATCTAATAATCCAACCACGGTACATCTCCATACTCAAAACAACATTCATCCACAAAGCAATGAAATCACAAGTGTAATACATATAGATAAAATCCAATAGTCATAACATGTCTAACACAATCCAAAATTACATAAAGGTAAGAAAAAGTCTAACTCGCTCCTCGTCATTGTTGTTGTCGGCATCCCTATTATTGGTGTCGGCTACATTAGAACAACACATCATACTGTTGCTCCCTACGGGAGTACCTCCTCTAGCATGAAAATAATGAAAGCCAGCTTAAGAATATGATTCAATAAATGGATAATAAATACATATGTATTTATGTTATATAATATATATATATATATATATCTAATAACTCCATGCTCCGCAAACGTCAACTTAGTGATAGTCACATATGTAGGCTGGGGAAGAATATCCTTTAATTGAATTTTAACTAACCTCTCCATGGGATCCATCCAACGATAGTTAACTAGTCCTCCATGTAATGCCTCATCTACAAGATGATGTGTAAGATGGACCGTAAAAAATGAGGGAGAGAAGAATATCTCAATTTTGTAGAGGATTTTATTCATTTCTCCTTTTAGTGCCTTAAATTCTGTAATATTGATTACTTTGGAGCATAACTTTCTAAAAAAATCTAAAGAATTCAATTGTAACTTTTGTTACTTCATCATCCATCATGTTGTTACAGAGTGTCATCAGAAACAATTGATGAAGAAGGATATGATAATCATGATTCATAAGTCTCAAAAGTTTTTGCTCTTTCACTTGGACATTATTTAAAATATCAGAGCAGTAACCATTCAGTGACTTCACGGATTTGACCACCTCACAGAATCTCTGCATCTCAACCTTTGACATCATAATGTGAGATGAATGTAGCTTTTTCCAGGTTGCATGGACAACTGGTTATCTCATATATTCCTTTCAATATTCATTACGTCTAAATTATAACAAATTTTGATCTTTTGCCAGTAAGGAAGCTAAAAGAATATACTAAATTTTATCCATCCTGTTGGCAACTCCTCGACATGTTTGTCATCTAAACTTTGCACTTGTCTCTTTCATTTTGGTATCCTCTTCATGATGGAAATGCATCACGGAGCTAGAATAGCTGCTTTTGTATATCAATTTTTTCTGAACTTGAATTTAGGATATCCTTCATTTTACAATCTCATTTCTCGTCATTATATGCTGCTCCCGTCTTTCTCTTCTTGGTCATAAAACTTATTCACCCAAATTTTACCCCTATATTTATGTCACTTTCGTAACAATCTTTTATTAAACTAATAAGACATCTTTTAGCCATGCTGTGAATAAAAGCCTTCGAAGTTTGAACCACATACATGCGTATGTCCTTTTCGTAGACCACCCGGAGAGATTAGCATTAGCTAAAAATCATTAATCGACTACATAAAAATAGTACGAAGATTAAATATCTCATAGGAAAATGCATCATATATTTGGACTCACTCATCTCAGAGATGTTTTAAGTCATCAACTAATAGCTCCATGAACACATCTATGTCGTTATCGGGCGAGTGCTTTCCTAGTATGAGCAATGAAAGGATCATATATTGTTTCTTCATACAAAGTATTGATGGTAAATTATAAGGCATTAACACATTTGGCTAAGTAGACTAACCCGAGCTCATAATGCCAAACAGTTTGAATTCATTGCTAGATAGATCGAGTTTGACAGTCTTGCACTCTATGGAAAATAAGACATCTTTCAGCTATGCTATAATTTTCTTCTATTGCTTCACTGACTCATCTAACTTTCTTGTTGAAGTGCGCGTACTTTTTCTCTAATGAGACACTATATACTTTGGACATTCCTCAAATTTCTAGTTATCTTTATAATACAGGATACAATTATTAGGACACACATCGATCTTATTATAATCTAAACTCAGAGCGCTAATGATTTTATTCGCATCATAATACTTTTTTGGCATGCTATTCTCTCAGTGTGGAATTACCTTTGTGTGGTAAATGTATTTGAAAATATTTATCCGGCATTCTGCTGAGGGCCTTAATATGCATTAGTTGAATAATAAATGACATTCTACTGTACTCAATGCAGCCATCATGCAGATCCTTCTCATCATCTTCCAATAACTTCATTAAACTTTTAAAGCCCTTTGATGTCACTTGCACATTGCATTGCACCATGCAAATGGTGTGTAATAGGGAATTTGTGCTCTGCATTGTGCCTTGCACACATCTTCGACATTTTCAACACCTTCTGCATCTGCAGGAACTTTGGGTACCTCCAACACTTCTACAATTTTAGCAACTTCTGCAACTGACACAATATCATTGAAATCCTATGTATAATCTATCCTCACATTTATATTTCCGTCAGCTGACTCAATATCTTTGCCTTTGTTTGCGTCAGGAACAAGTTTTGTTGTAGAATTCATTATAACTATTTATCGATTACAACGAATACAAAAGAGTAAGCTTCGTACTTTGTAAAACTACTCTTTACAACAAAAAAAATCAAATTACAAGCTCCTTAGAAACAAACGCAGGATCGTCGTTTGGATCGCTGCTTGCGTGGGATCTTTGCCTGTGCCGGGGGTGCGTTAGCCCGTGGACCACCGATTCACAGATTCTGATTGAATCGTGAAGGTTTTGGGAATTCTTCTTTCGTTTATCGAAGTAAGAATTTAAAGCAAATATCTTATCGATGTAAGATGTTCACTCTTTCAAAGATCAAGTCTGAGCTTAGATCTCTAGGAATCGCCAAAAGCTTCTTGATGATGTTTGTGAAGAAGGAAGACTCTCTTTCTTGCTCTAATTCACCAAAACTCAAGGCTCTCTGCTTTAATCTGCTCTGAAAATGCTCAGCCCCTGTCAATGATGGCCATAGGGGGGTATTTATTGCTTCCTTGGACGATAACTGAAGAAATAGCCGATCAACAACTGTCCCTTTAGGCGCGGCAGTTGACACTGTCGCGGCCA